TTCGACTCCGTGGACTGTAGCCCACCAGGCTCCTTGGTCCATGGGATTCTCCAGGCAAGAATACTGGAGTGGGTTGCCAGTTCCTCCTCCAGGGGATCTTCCCGACCCAGGGATCAAACCCAGGTCTCCCGCCTTGCGGGCAGACGCTTTAACCTCTGAGCCACCAGGGAAGCCTGATATAATAAGAGAAGTGTCAGTTCTTCAAGTAGATGTATCAATGCTAAATGTGCACGCAACAGAGCTTCAAAAACCACCAAGCAAAAACAAATGAAGCTGAAAGGTGAAATATACAAACTCACAGTTACGGTTTGAGAGGTCAACACTCCCGTCTTAGTAATGGGAAGAACCAAGAGACAGAAAATAAGGATAGATATTACTATTACTGAAAGCTTTGTATGTGCTTGGCCAAATATTCTCTGAGTATGCTATGTATTTTCTCATTTGGTCAACATAGTAGCGTATGAGTTAGGCAATGTTACCAACCTTAGTTTAAAGATGTGATAGCTAAAGCTTCTATAGGCTAAATTGATTACAAAGACACAAGTGAGTGCAAAGCTAGCTTGACTCCAGAGTCTGAACTCTCTCTCTCTCTCTTTTTTTTTAACCATACTCTGCTCCCTTCCAGGTAAGGAATAGGGCTGAAATTTTGGGTCCCAGCTCCTCTGGAATTCCTTGCTGTGCAGAGATGTGTGGGCCTGACCTGTGCAGCACCGTGAGTGAGATGCTTTCTGGGTCATTGGTGCATTCTCCCACGACCACCTTGGAGTCACTAGTCTCATCACCAGTTTCAATGCTGACACTAGTTTGGAGGTCCACATTGAGGTCCAGGTCGACAATCTCACCCAACAGAGGCCTGCAGGGAATAAGATTCACAGTGAACAGAGGTGAAGAAGTCTCTTCACATTGCCCATGAGTCTCTCTCTCTAGATGGCCATTGCATGGGATATCTATGGATAAAGTCAATGGTGTGTAAATTTTTTATGAAATCCACATTCTTTCATTAGGTATTACTTTTCCTGGCCCCATGGGTTTGGCACGTATGAAATTTTTATACAATATCACACCGATAAACAAAACAAAAATAATAGTTAACCTTTCTTGAGCACAAACTCTGTGTTAAGTATTTCACAAAAGTCTTTCACTTGAATTAAGCGATTAATCTTGACAGCAGTACCATGAGGGAAAAATACTATCATTATGTCTATTTTCAAAGTGAGGAAATGTTTGGTATAGAGAGGTTAAGTAACTATACCAAGATCTCATATCCAATGAATGATGAAATAGCAGTACACTTAATTTATAAAGACTCGTCTGAAAAAAAAAAGACTCATTTACACATCTGCATTTTTCTTTCTCTTCATATTTAAAAAGCAGTTAAAATACTTAGAAATTATTGTTTCTAATATAATTTATATAATTAATGAATTAATAAAATTTCTAATATAATTATAGTTTCCATATAATTTCACATGCCTTTCACTACATACTGTTTACTACTATATGACCATACTGGTGACTGCTATTTAAAGAGAATCTTGAGAGACAAAATGATGCTGGAGGAAACTTTGCCTAAGAGTTATAAATGTTCATGTCTTCTCAATTTTCAACTATTACGATTAGATAAGTTTTATGATTTTGGAAATATATTTCATGGAGGACTTTTTAAAAAAGAGATTCGGTTCTGGGCAATGTTTCTTAGAACATTTTAAAGGTTAGGATTTAGGAGTTGCAAAGGCCTCCTTATTTTGCAGATTGGGAGAGCAAGGCAGCAGGGTTGAAAAGTGCCCGATGCCAGATTGGAGACCTATTGGCCATACCTCACTGCCTCTCCCAACCCTCAGATTCTAAGGCTACTCACAGGTTCACGGTGACACCAGCAGTGATGGGGATCTTCACGTCAGCACTGTTGTCAGAAGTCGCCTCGAATGTGATATCCGGGACTTGGACATTCCTGATTCTCACCCTGTGTAAAAACCACAGTTCACCCTTGTCACTCCTGACAGCCATTGCTTGGCTCTTCTCTGCCAGCGTTGTGCTGAGCATTGAGCCTCATGGACTTCACCTGCTTTGGTCTCATGAGAGCCCTGCTCAGGGGTTGGATTCTTTCCATTGGAGGTATGGCAGACTGAGGATTAGACGGCTGTGATTTCCTCAAGGTGCCAAGGGTGAACATGTGCCAGAGCCAGTATTTGTTTTTTTTTTGTTTTTGTTTTTAGTTGAGGTATAGCTGCTTTATGATGTTGTGTTAGTTTCAGGTGGGCAGCAGAGTGATTCAGGTAGAGATATGTATATTTATAGAGGTATCTTTATTTCAGATTCTTCTATCTTATAGGTTATTATAGAATATTGAGTATAGTTCCCTGTGCTATATAGGAGGTCCTTGTCGGTTGTTTATTGTATATATAGTAGTGTGTATATGTTAATGCCTGGAGTAGGAAATGGCAGCCCATTCCAGTATCCTTGCCTGCACAATCCCATGGACAGAGGAGCCTGGTGGGCTATGGTCCATAAGGTTGTAAGGAGTGGACATGACTGAAGCAACTTAGCATATGTTAATGCGAAACCGCTGATTTCTCTCCCACATTGCTTTCCCTTCTGGTAACCATGCGTTTGCTTTTTATGTCCACAGTCTGTTTTGTATAAGATCTTTTGTATCATATTTTAGATTCCATACATAAGTGGCATCATATGGTATTTGTTTTTCCTCCGCCTGACTTACTTCGTTTAGTATGATAACCTCTATGTCCATCCTTTCGTTGCTGCAGACAGGATTAATTAATTCTTTTTATGCAGAGTCAGAATTTGAACCCAGAACTGCCTGACTCCCAGACATTATGTGTGGAGCCACCTACGTGGTGTGAATTCTAGTTTTCTCTCTCTTGAGGCCATTTAGGCTTTTATACTCAGCTATATTCAGAGAAGAAAAGTCATTCCTTAGAAAAGGGACTTTAGGCATCAGCAAACAGATAGAGGTGAGGGAGAAGAGAACCTTCATCCTGACCCTGAAATCACAGAATGAGAAGGTCCAGACCCATGAGATGCTGGACAGGCCCTGCAGCGCTGACTCTACTTTTCCCAGGCTCTGGTAGAGCTGGCCTCAGACCGCTTCTTCTCTGCAAGAACACACAAGATTTGTTCATCTTTCTTTCTTTTATATTAAACTTACCTACCCAAAGGTACATATTCTCTTTTCTGGGAGCAAAGATTTCCAACATGAAGCATCAACTCACCCTGTAAGCCTGTTCACTACTTGAAAAATTCTAGAAATGAGCTGTTCCAACAAATTCTCAAATTCCTGGTTCTCCACAACCTCGTCTGAACACCTGGATTCCAATTCAGTCTTCAAATTCTGAAAGATAACTGCAAAAACAATCTCCGTTTAGTGTAGTACACAACTTAAGAAGCAGTTCCTTGGCACCAGGTACTAATGAGACTACTTTCCTAGGTTATTTTATTTCATCTTATAACACCTCCATAAAGTAGATGGTACTATTATCTGCACTTTCAGATGAGGAATTAAAGGATCAAAAGATTAAGAAATGGGCCAAAGGCACACAGCTAGGAGACCTTGTTCCTAGTATGCTGCCTTCATGCTAATATATGCTCATCATTTCAACAAAGCAATCAATCCACTGAGCAGGCAGTAGATACTGATTGCACATCAGCTTCTAGTAGTGAAGATTAAGGAGATGCTCATACAAACAGAATAAACTGAGAACAAAATAAGAAATGGAAAATGTAGAATCAAAGAAAAAACATGGCTCCAAATTATTAAAGCGGCAAGTAGGAGCCCTGGATAACAGGCCTAGAAAGCAGTGATTCATTCAAGAGCAGGAGGACAGAGAGTCCTAACAGAGGGTCTTTCAGAGAAAAGAGGGGTTTGATAGAGGAAGTAACATGGCAGATGCAGAATGGCACATTGGAAAAGAGTTCAGAATATATGTGTAGGAAAGAATTCAAATGAGAAACAGGAAGGCAACAACTAGCTCAAAAAAACACACAAAAGTCTACAGGAAAAGATCTGTAATCAGAGCACTCCAACTTGGCTCTGCAATGGACAATATGCACCTAATTATAATGATGCAAACAGAGACGGAAACTCCGTCTGGTCCTATAGATAATCCAGACACTTCTGCTTCTGAGCCCAGTTTTATCAGCACTGAAACTAGAAAGTGGGTCCCTTTGAAGTTTTCCCAAGCCCTGGCAAGTTTGGAAAGGCAGTCATATACAGAAATTAGTTTCTCCGATAAAGCATGTTTGTCATGGTGCTGGTAATGTTTCCAGAAATTGAAAAGAAGGCCAAGTTCTTCCAAGAAATCAGAATTACAAGGACATATGATTAACTAGAAAGAGAGGTAATTTTAAAGCTATCTAGGCTAGGTAGGAATCCTTTTCCAATAGTTAATACAGAGTACTAAGTAAATTAAGTGGCCCAGCAGAAGAATATGCCACAAATACAAATAAAATATTTAAATTAAATAGGTAAATGACTAATACAATATGAAAAATATGAGTGAATTCTTTCAAAATTAGAGAAAAGCTAAGTGACATGAATTATAACCTTTCATCTGTGAGATTGGCAAAAAATTCAGTTGTCCAAAACAGTGCTGTCAGGGAAGTGGAAAAAAAGGGAATCTCATAGACTATTGGAGAAAATGTTAGCATAGGGTATTATTTATCAATATCTACTGTAATTTAAAATATGCATACTTCTGAACTTTTGAAATGTCACTTTGAGGAATTGATCCTAAGAATATATTAGCAAAGTTTGCCATGATATAAGATGTAAAGTGATATTCAGTTAAGTGTTGCTTGTGTCTAGAAAAATAATAAACAATGACCAATTAGTCATTATTACCAAATAAACAGGAACCAATTAGCAACCTACCTTAGTAAACAACCCATAAAGAGAGCTCCTGCTACAGTCTTTGGTAATACAGGCATAGTATTTAGCAGGCAAGCTCCCAGGGTGCCACTGATCATCACTATTGTTGACTCACCTTCAATTGTACTGTCAAAGCTGGCAAGTCCTCTCTCAAGAGCAGATTTCAGGTTCCTCAGAACATCGTTGCCACGATTGTCAAGAAGAGATGCTGAGGTCCCAGCGAGCAGGCCGCACAAGAGAACAAGTTTCCAAAGCTGAAACATCTTGTCCTGACACCTGGACAGTCATAGGAGGATCAGGAGTGAGAATTACCCATAGGGAAATGGGATCTTGGATGAGCACCTATCACTCTTACACTCAACAGACCTTGAAGACAGATGTGGTTATCTCCCCTCTCACCACCCAGGTCAGAAAGCTAGAGCAACTTGCCCAGAGATAAACAACCAGTGAAAGAAGGAGATACTATTTGAAAAGTCATACTTGACTCCAGATCAGTGCTCTTTGCTAGGGGTCTGTTGCACTTGCTGTCTTCTCTGCCTGGAACATTTCCCTCTTCTTTTCATTTTCACCTGAGTCACTTCCTACTGACTCCAAATTCAGTCAGATAGCATGTCCTCTATGAAGATCACTCTATACCTCTCCCCAGAGTCTAGGATAGGGGGCCCCACTCCACCATCTTGCTGCCTTCATTGTATGGCCAGAGTCCTGGGGACCAGTTAGAGAAGATTGACTGCCTTTCCCATCAGGCTGTGCACCCCTTAGATGTATCTCACTATCGAATTTATAACACATAGTAAAAAACCTGCTCTTCGCTCACTACAACAAAATAAAGCTTGCTGAATAAAAGTATGAACAAATAAATGGGCACCACATCATGACCCTGCTTTGCTTGTCAGTTTGGCACTTCTCCTAATTGAATCTATTTCTTAATTTGCTCTGATCAAGATAGAAGCTAACTGAATTAGACCGATCCCTCTGCCTCTGGCCCCCAAAGCCTTCTGAAGGCCTTAGGTGGGGTGACATTAGGTAGAAAGCCCATCGTTCACAGGTTTGGAGAAAAATACTTACAAAATCCTTGCTACCCTGCACAGTCTCCTGAATTCTGCTGGGTGGTGATGGCCCTTATATCTCCTGAATGGTGATGTGGTGGGAGGCTGCCCCCAGAAACAAGCCCTGTGTCCGGAGCCATCCAAGGAGACTCCAATGAAAATAACCCCTGTCCAGAGTGAATACAGAGAGATTTCCGAAGCAAAGGTCACCCAGGATGCTTGAATTGGAATGGGTGGATGTGGAGAGGACTTGGTGCCAAGACTAAGAGCAGGTTCTCGTGCTGCCAAGACAGCGGCCATTGCAAATGGGGGCTGGGATAAAGACCGAGAATGGATGAAGTGGAGAATGTTCTGGTAGAAAGACCCATGGTGATCATCCAGGTTATTCTATCAGGATTTGGAAACACAGGCTGAGAGGGAAATTATGATACTATTCTATCAGTATTTGGGAATCAGCTTGAGGTCCCCCAGAAAGACAGGGACAGATATGAGGCTAGAATTGTGGCCCACAGAGTCAGGGTCAGTGACGAGCGAGTCATTCTTCCCAAACATTCTGTCTGAGTGCTCTCCATAAAATCCCTCACAGTGGAGCCAGCCTTAGAGCAAATGTTTTCAGTTCAGGACCACCCTCCGCTGTCTGCCTACTCCATTTAGTCAGTACAGTTCCTCCTGTGAGTGAACAAAGCCTGCCTCCATACGTACCCTCATGTATGCAGGATTCCTATGCACACTTGCCCCCAACCCTTCTACTCTCAATGCAGTGGCCAGAGGTTGAAGCACTCAGCTTCAAAACAGCAACCCCATCAAGGCCTTGGGGTATTGTTCACTGCCACCCCAAACTCATCTACCTCTCCCTCCATGGCCCTACTGACTTCCTTCTGTTTCAGAAGGATACCAGCCCTTTTGCTGCCTTTGACCTCCACACAGACCATTCCCTTTTTGCAGAACTGCCTGCCTAGCTGACCCTGGCTCTCGACATCACCTCACAACCTCTGTGATGGCTCCCCTGAGGTGGTCCCTCCCCATCTTCCCCAAGCGCAGCTTTTTACTGGCTTCTGTCACAGCAGATCATTATCATTGGCTTTCCCCCTTGTTCTCTGCCCTCAGCAAGTTATTACCACCCTTTCCTCTAGGGGCTTCCTCTCACATGGGTCCCAAGACACTGACCTTGCTCTAGAATGCTCCAAGCATCTCTGTGGCATCTGATAAGGCCGTCCACTCCCTGATAAGGTGGTGAGGCTCCCATCCTTAGAGATGCTTGGTCATTTGACCAGATGACTGCTAATGTCCCGTGTGACTTGATGTGACTGTGAGCTGTGATTCAAAATTTCCATAGTCTCTTGTTCGAAGATCAATGTGGCACATTTGTATGACTCTGGCTCCCAGGTTTTTTTTTTCCCTGAGTCTCGCTGCCCCCTGAGGATGTGATTCCCTCAGGCTTCCTGCCTCTATCCTTTTCTCACTGGCCTGTCCTCCCAAGACCCACATCCACCTGGCCATGGCCTCCTGGAGTCACACTGGCTGGTGCTGGGTAGTTTGTCATCACGGATCACACCCAGGACAAAGCCAGCTTCTTTTTTGTCTTCTGGGGGATGCAATGAGTGGCATTCATCAGCCAAAATGCCCAGCTCCCAGTAGGGGCAGGTGAGTGCCAGGGCCTGGGCTTGGCACTGCAGGTCGACTTTCCCAACTTGTGCTCAGGACAACTCCGTGAGGAGGTTCAGAAAGCCCAATTTTCTGGTGAGGAAACAGGTTTAGGGAAAGGAGGTGGCTGGCCCAGGTCTCACAAGGACAGGGCCCAGTGTTTGGGTCCCCAGGGAAGGACATGTCACTCAGATCACCTTGAGGCCAGCTGGTGGGCAGGAGAGTCCTTGCACTTGAATAGCCTGTTTATTCCTTGACCTCTGCTGTTTGAGTTGGTTGTAACGCCTGGTGCATTGGGCCCGTGTCAACCCGGAACACCCGGTCCTAGAAGTGCAAATGCATGCCCACTTGGCTTTAGGCTGGGAGCACCTGCTAGTCACCCGGGGTCAGTCTCTTCCATTTGCCCACCTGCATCTCAGTAGAAACCTGCAACCCTGTCCTGGACATGATAGCAGCCAGGAGAATGTAGGGGTAGGTCCAGAGGTTTTGGGAGTTAGCCTTCCTCACCCTGACTCTGGTCCCACCATCAAAGCACAGGGCAGGTGCCCAAACCTAAGCCAGGGACATGGAGAACCCTGTCCAGCAGAGCCTTAGGCCTGTCAGCAGACCACCCTACCAGACTGTCTGTGCCCAGTTCTGCAAATATCTGAGGCCCCTCTTCTCCTAGTTGTGGGCACAGAGCTGAGGGCTGTGCAGAAACCTTGTGCAGAGAGTTGTCCCAACTCAGGAACCCAGCCCAGGGGATTGAATGTGATGTAGTGAGCTCAGACCTGGTGTTGGCCCCAGGCTTCAGCTGGTGAACTAGGTAATCAACCTGCGTTTGGATCCTGGTGGCAAATGGAAATTAAAATGGTACCGAAGGACTGCTGCTCATAGCCTGGCTCTAATGCCGGGCCAGCTGAGTTTGAATCCTCTCCTCCTGTTACTGGCTATGCAGCCTGGACAAGGAGCTTCATCTCCATGAGCCTCAGGTCCCCTGTGTGTGACATGGCCCTAAAGATGGGATTCTCCTCTAGGTGTGTGGTGAGGATGTGATGGGATAATGTGTATGAAGGGCTGACATTAAGTAGGTACCTGATATGCAGTAACACCAATGATGAAATGATGATGACAGTTGTTTCTATTGACAGGCCATTTCACACCCCTCCAACTCAGGTCTCCCATCTCTATGTGGTCCTACCCAGAGGGTTGTGGGGAAGACTAAGTGAGAAGATAAAGCACTCAATACGCTTAATGCTTCAGCAAAGCTACTGCATTTCTTACTTTTGTGTGCAGTAAAGACTGAATGAGATAAAATGGGCTCAGGTCTGCAGTATACCAGTGTCCACGAATCCTGTCTCCCTTGGGTGATGGTGTTTAGTCCTTGGCAGGTGTGCCTCCTCATAAACCGAAGTTTCCCTTCAAGGGGCTGAGTTAGTGAAGACAGTACCATGGTCTCAAATATGATCTGATTGGATATAGGGATTGGATGGGGCTTTATGTTAAGAAGCCCTTGCAGGCAGCTCCTGAACTTGAAGGGAAGGATTGATTAGTGATGTCTGCCACAAGTTCAGGAGGGGAGAGCGGAGGCGCCGCGTGTGTGCCACTGTGGGACCAGGTCATATGCAAGAGGCCCTGTATCCAGAGATGGGCACACCACCACCACTCGTTCATGGAGGGTGGAATTCTGGGACCTGCCTGGTGCGGGAGAAGGAGATGAAGACCCTTATCTAGGTTCCAGTCTTGACCAGAAAATAACCTGCTTTGTGACTCTGAGTAACATGTTCATTTTCTCCCAAGGTCTCTGTTGCCTCTAACTACAAAATGAACAGAGGTTCCCTGCTACATGGCTGACTCCTCGGGGCTCTGAGAGGTGGTCAGGAACACCTAAGGGATACTTGCTACATTCCCACCTGCTGGGCCGCCCCACACTCTTGCTTTGAGCCTGAATCCCATCAGCTCCTTGGGCACAGTGATAACTGCCCCCTCTCTGATGCCATAAGGGCCAAAACCACAGGCTTCATGCCCAGGCCCTGACACAGCAGATTTTCAATAAATATTTATTAGAGCTTGCATAGCATTTTAAGTGCTGCTGAATTAAAATGTACCCATCAAGTAATCCATGCATTTTATTTGTAACAGTACAATAAGCTTGCTCTTAGGTCATCCTGGGGTGTACATCCAAGAACTTTTCCTTGTTGGTGGTGTGACAGCAGGTAAATGTCATAACCTCTTGGAGCTCTGTTTTTTTTTTTTGCTTTCAACCATGAAAAGGAGCACTAGATTATCCTCTACCTTAGAAGAGCAGCTGGGGGCACTAAATGAGGAAATGTCAGTAGAGGGCCCAACCCAGCCCTGGCTGAGGAAGGTGCTCCATGAATAATAGAGATCATCATAATTGCTGTCACTGCAATACATTGTTGTGAGTTGTGACCTACGGCAGCATTCAGGAGCCTGGATAATAGGGAGGGAGACAAGGGGCAGTGTGTACAGTTCTTGAAAGTAGATGAGGCTGTAAGCAAATCAGAGCGCTGCCACTTACTAGCCTTATGATCTTTCCCTCCTAGAGACTCAGTTTACTCACCTGTAAA